GAAAAAAGCAAAGACTAGAACACATCCCCATCAGCAACCCACATTCAGATAAGCAGGGATCAGCACCAAACAATCAGGCAAAAAACAATACTCTAATCAAGGAATCACTAAGGAGGAAACTACACCCCCACCAAAACTGACAGGGCAAGCTACTGCATATGAACAGGCAACAAACTCCATACTAACTCACATTCATGATGTTACCTAGTTAGGTAATGAAACATCTGCAAGCAAACAAGTTCAGAGAGCAGCAAGAACTCCACAGTTCAACCCTGAGCTACAGATATTCTCTTCTATAGTATAGTCTAGAAGATATCAAGTTAATATGGACGGTAACTGCTTTGAAGCATATTTACAACACGTGTAGGGTTTTCTTGCCTAGCTCCTATTTCAGCAACTTCTTGCTTCATATTGTATTATTGAGGCAAGTCCTCATGCCCCCACAAACTTCTCAGCTACAGGTAGTCCTCAGTTAACAACCACTCATTCAGCAACCATTTGAAGTTGTGACAGCAATGAACAAGTGGTGCTTATGACTGGTCCTTGAAGTTCCAGCTGTTGCAGCACCCCTGTGGTCATGTGATTGCGATCTGGGTGCTTGGCAACCAACTCATGCTTACGATGGTTATAGTGTCCCATGGTGACATGATCACTATATGCAACCTTCCCTGCTGGCTTCCCACAAGCAAAGTCAATGGGGAAGCCAGCAGGGAAAGTTGCAAGTTGCTCCCGCTGCTTTTTCTCCCAAGCAGCCCCCTACAGATCTCGAACTCTGTAGCATGCACACGCCACAGCATTCCCTCCCCAGCCCACATGCACTCGCTGCAGCATACCTTCCCCCACCTCACTCCATAGTACTCACCTGCCCTTCGGCCTGCTTGTGAGCCGCCCAGGACTTGCAACTTCCAGCCAGCTTCCCCATTGGCTTTGCTTATGGGAAGCCAGCAGGAAGTTGCAAGTCACAGTCACATGAGGTCCTCGCTTAATGACCTGTGATTTTTGCTTAATGATGGCAGTGAGGACTGCCGGGATTACTGTCACTAAGTGATGTGGTCATGTGGCATCACGTTTTATGACTGCATTGCTTAGCAACGGAAATTCTGGTCTCAATTACCATTGTTAAGCGTGTACTATTTGAATTGAAAAAGTTATTTGCCTGCAGACTTTTAACAATAATTTTTATACAATTTCAGTTGAATTAAGGAGAGAGAGAATCATAATGAAGATTAAATGCAGCATAATATCTTTGATGTAAATTTATGTGCCTTATTTACCAAAGTGCCTGGGGCTTGTTAAACTTATACTGTACTTACTCAGAAGTGGTCTTAGAATATTTCTTCCAGCAGGCAAATTGAAGTTGTGGACTGTGTATCACCAGCCTTCTGTAGCTATGATAGGCAATCTCTGGAACAAATTTGAATATTTCAGGGGTTTTATGTTCCGATACTTTCTTTGTTGCTTCTTCAGAGATGAATATAGTTATAGAGCATTGTCCAGTAAAAGGAAGTAGTAAGGTAGATGAAATTGTCTGAAGTTTTACAAATTTAGGATCCCCAACTTTTTTTTAAACTTGTGACTTTTGACATTTTGAGAGTATGATGTGGGCATTCAAAGAAAATGGTTGCCAGGTGAGGCTGGCCCATGAATAAAATACAATGAGAAAGACCAGTTACAAAACACTTGATTTTCCAAAATGCAAAATGGTACAGTTGTTCCCTGACACATTTTCAACTCCCAGGACACTAGCATCTTTTTCCATATCCTTCTTGTAGTCTGTCATTTTTAAATCCACTTTCAGAACAGTCTCAATCTTGTTAGGTAAAACTTGTTCCTCTTTCATAACATCTTTTAAACATAGTCTATCTATAGAGGCAGGCACTCTTAAAATTAACTTCTGGGTCCATTGTTCAAAAATATCC